TAAAAAATTTAACCGATAATTTTTATAGATATGATCATTAGCTTTAAAAATTATCAGTTATTTTTTTTCTAAATTAAATTTTGGCTAAGTTTTAGCTGTTTAATAATCTGTAATTTAAATATACTGACAAAATTTAGTTAAAATTGAGACTAGTCTAATTTTTGCATTACAGATCTTTTTTAGCCACATTTAATGTAATATTAATTATTATTTTACTTCAGATTTTTTTTTCAATATGCTAAGAAGAAAAAAAAGTTCTAATATTGCAAAAAAAAAAATTAATAAACAAAATTATTTAAGTATAGGTTAATTTAATATTATAAATAATGATATTTAAAAGACAGTTCAGATGATAAATTTATAAACAAAAGAATTCAAAAATTAAGTAATTTTACTTTAATTTAATCAAAAAATGCATATAATAAAATATAAATCTCATTATCATGTACCTGATTCATCAATCATTAGTTTATAATGAAATACAATAAACAAATATATTATATAAATTTTTATATGGTGCGTAACACCTAAACTCATCAAAAATTTAGCATAAACTCTAAATATATCTAGTTTTTCAATTTGTATATTATTAAAAAATCAAACCAATTTTTATGTAGTTTAAGTCATACTCTTTTAGAAAATCGGCTTATATTTTTGAACTAGCTTAGTTATTTAAAAAGTTATCAGTGTTTAAAAATATAGTATTTTATTAGTAGGTAGCCAGATTCAGACTTACTTTGCAGGGGTATTTACAGGGGTTTCGGCCAATAAAAATGCGAGATTTAGATCACGTGACAATCTCAATTATAATTTAAACAATTATATACTTTGTCTATTGTTTCTATCGTTAATTTGTTGCCTTTTGATTTTTAGTTGCTCTCCTTTTTTAATACAAAAATATACAAAATAAAAATAAAAAAAAAATGCCGCTTCCTTCTAAACAAAAAAGAAAATCAAAAGAACAACCACGTACAGTAGGCGGTAAGTATAATACTAAAATAACATGTAAAGATGGCTGGGACTCTTTGATACTTGAAGTATCTTACAATGATAATAATTTTTTCGATGATGGTTCATGCTATTTTAATAATGACACTGATTCTTTTGATGATAATGGTGGCGATTCTTCAAGTTTTGTTGATGATATACCAGCTGATGATATTAATTTTGAATTCTTTGATGATGAAGCGTGGGGTGATGATGATGATAGTGGATGGGACGAACCAGAGGAAATGGAAGCTGAAATCAAACTCCACCAAAGATTAAAAATTTCGATTTAGTATGGAAAGATGATAATTAACTAGAAAAAATGAAGTGAGGGTCATATAAAACAGGAAAAACACCAAAATCAACATATTATGACAAATATGGTCCAAATGGTACGTTAACTAAAGCTGCAGCCGGCACTGAAAAAATTACAAATTTTTTTAAGATTAGTAGTACCCAAGTTACTAATCCACAATTATCTAGAGCTGATACACTAGAAGTTTTTTCAAGTGATTCAGAAAGTGAAGTTGTTAACCCATATATTTACAAAATAACTGAAAAAATAAAGAATCTAAAAAAACAGTTAGAGAAACAACATAATCAATTAACAGTTGCTGAGTATAATTATAAAAGAGCAATATTTGAATATCTAACCTTGTTAAATAATAATAATGGACACAGAAAAATTGATATTAGTTTGGAAGTTGCCCAAAAAATTTTTATTGATGGTGGTGTATGGAAAGCATAAAAAATCCGATATCTTACAAAATATTGGTTACTGAATAATAAACTCCCAGAATCTAGATGTGGAAAACATCAAAAAACAATTAGAATAATTGATGATGAAGATGTTGCAGAAAGATGTCATATTTGGATTCGAAAACAAGATTTCAAAGCCACACCAGCTTTATTTAAAAAATTCATTGAAACTGAATTATTTCCTAGCATTGGAATCACTAGAGAAAAATCCATTGCTTTAATGACTGCAGCAAGATGTAAGTGAAGAATTTAAACTAAATTTTCTTTAATAAACCC